ATGCTGATTCGAACTGATCAGTGTGTCTTTGGCCAGTCCGATGCACAAGGAAGTCCAATCCGCAAGCGCACTGGATTCATCACAAACAACTCACAGATTGCCAAGACATTACGTAGAGATTGCCCCGCCAATCACTCACACGTACATTGCATAGGACGGAGTTGTGGCCAATCTCGAGCGACGATCGCAGCGCGATATCCAAACAAGATGGTGGACGCTGTCTTGAGTGCATATAAGCGATCGATCTCGTCACTGACCAAACACGACAACCTATTGTTTGAATGTCACCATAGACGAATCAAAGAACCAATGACAGTTTATAGTCTCGGTACACCAGTTGATCCAGACGAGTCAAGTTCGTTGATTTTTATGGGTTGTCGGGTCAGTCAGGGCGGTTGCAAGAAAGCAGCAGATCCAGTACCCGAAAGCATTTTTGCCGCCGAACCAGTAGATCTCGACCCAAGTGACATTGGGGAAGCCATCGATCTTGAAGCAGAAGAAGACGACGAGCAGCCAGGTGTAGATGATATCGAAGAACAACCGACTTCCCAAGAAATAGAGGAAGAAATAGCTAATATGCCAGCAAGACGTCGTCAGAGTCTAATGCATGAGATCCAGAAGGTTCATCGAGGTCTCGGGCATCCGTGTTTATCTAACTTGCTTCGAATCCTCAACCATGGTAAAGCTTCTCCTCTGATCATAGCTCTTGCAAAGGAGTTTAAGTGTTCCATGTGTATTGAAAACAAACAGCCAAGACCATGGAGAAGGGCCGCACCGCCTCGACAACTTGAGTTCAATCAAGTGGTAGGCGTCGATACACTCACGCTGAGGCATTTTGACCGGAGCATTCACTGTTTGAACATTGTCTGTTGGGGCACGCGATATCAGATGATCATCCCACTCGAAAGCAAACATGCCATAAGTATACGTAAGGCATATCGATTGTGGATAAAGATGTTCGGGGCACCACACGTGATCCACCCGGATCTCGGAAAAGAGTTCCAAGCAGAATTTGCGAGCAGGTGCGCTACAGATGGTTCTAACATGTTGCCATCAAGCCTAGAAGCTCCAACGCAAGCAGCAATCACTGAAAGGGAAGGGGGAAGCTTTAAAACGATCTTTGCAAAAACCAGTCTTGAATATGGCAAAGTAGAAGATCAGGAAGAACTACATGAACTAATAGACATCTCATGTATGATGAAAAACAGACTGACGCACAGAGGAGGCTATAGTGCCATCCAGAGGGTTTTTGGGGTCACACCATGTATCCCTGGAGAAATCATGAGGGGAGATCACAACAATCTGCATCACATGGCCGAGATCACTGCAGGTGATGTAATTCTACAAAAGCAAGAAGCAATGCGTCTTGCGGCAGGCCGTGCATTCTTTGCACAAGAGTGCAGTTCCGCAATTCGCAGAGCACTCCACAGTGGACCTCGTGTCAGCCCAGAATTTTCGGTAGGCCAAACTGTTTATTTCTGGTGCAGCAGTACTCAACAGAAGGTTAGGCATAAAAACTCAGCGTCACGCCGACACAACTACATGCGCTGGACTGGACCAGCAAGTGTGATCGCTATGCAACTTCCAACAACGCTGTTTCTGAACTTTCAAGGCCGTCTTGTTAAGGCAGCGCCAGAACAGTGCAGAATGCGCAGCGACGATGAGGACGTTGCGTGCAGCAGCTTGCTTCAGAAGCTTTGCCGTGTGCGAGATAGCCTTAAAAGTAACAAGATTGGAGGAATGTTGGATATTACCGGGTTAGACCATCCACCAAGCAGTCCCACGTCAAGAGTAGGAGTAGACCCTTATGAAGATCACCCCACCAATAAGCGCAGGGCTTTTGGCAAACAACCACCGTCCAAGAAAAGCAAAAGTAAGGGTTTTCAGGGACTCAAAAGGAAACAAGATGCTATTGATCTAGAGGAATCAGATGTTGACTCAACAGGTGACTCCAAAAGAAAGTGCAACGAAGAAAGTCAAGAAATTGATTTTGACGACCTTTATTTGCACGAAGTTTTGGAAGATCCTCAAGTTCAACAAAACCTCATGCAGGAAGAAACAGAAAACCATGTTTTTATGATAGATCGAGAGCCAAACGAAACGAGACTCACAAGTGTTCGCAATTGCTGGAGTATGCAGAGCCAGACGAAAGAGCTTCGACTGCGAGACTTGGATGAGCATGATCGCGCCTTGTTCATCAAAGCGATTCGAAAAGAGTGGGAAACAAATCTCAACGCTGGAGCTATCGAAGTGATACCTCCTATGGAGGCCTCTAAGATCCGTCAAACACAGTCACATCGAATCATGCAAAGTCGCTTACTTCATGTGGCAAAACCCATTGATGATTTGGAAAACTTCGATCCAGATGAGATTTTGCATTATGGTCGAGACAACCAACCCAGAAAGGCAAAGTCCCGATGGATCGTGAGGGGAGACCGTGACCCAGATGTGTTCCAAGTGGAAACCACTGCACCCGTGATAGCTCGTGACACCATGTTCATTGGACTCCAACTGATTGCAAGCTTTGGGTGGACGGTCTTCTTTGCAGATTTCTCGCAAGCATTTATGCAGGGAGGAGAGCTCATCCGCAACGAGCCACTGTTCTGTGAGATTCCAGTGCATGAACTGCCAGACGTTGAACCAGGTTCATTAGTTGCAGTTAAGAAAACCGTATATGGACTGACAGATGCACCGTCAGCATGGAACAGACACTTAGATAAAGCACTGCAGGGCCTCGGGTATCGACCATCGATACTAGATCCATGTTTGTATACACTACATGTTCAGGAACAATTTCATGGTCTCATCATGGTTGCAACAGACGACTTGATTCACGCAGGTGGTAGGGAACATGGCACACGAATGGAATCACTAAGACAACGGTTCAGATTCGGTAAATGGGAACATACTCAGGGACGGTTTTGTGGAAAAGACATGTTTCAAAAGTCAGACAAGACTATTGAGGTCAGCCAGGCGTATTATGTTGACGCAAAATGCAGAGATAAGATTCCAATACCTAAGGGTCTTGGTGATGAAGAGCCATGTAGTCCAGAACAGATCAAAGAACTAAGGTCTAAAGTAGGAGCACTTAGTTGGATTGCAAAAGAAACACGTGTCGATCTGGCAGGAGCTGTTGCATTGCTAATGCAGGCATTTCCGAATCCGTGCGTTCGCGATCTCAAGAACTGCAATAAGATACTAAAGGAAGCAGTAATGTACAAGGATTTAAAAATCCGTATCTCTCCAGTAGAGCCAGAAGACTTGTGCATTGTCGTTACCAGCGACGCAGCTTGGGGAAACGCTCTAGATGAAAACAAACAAAGTGAAAAGAGTCAAGCTGGCTACCTGGTGATGACAGCAAGCCGCGCCATGCTTCAAGGAAAGCAAGCTTCCTTTTCGATCTTGGGGTGGAAGAGTCACACTTTAAAGAGAAGAACTGTATCAACACTCGGAGCAGAAACACAAGCCATTGTAGAAAGTGCTTCAGTATCGTGTTGGTATAGATACATTTTTCTTGAGTGTATGAACCCTAAGTTCAAAGCAACTCTTTCAGCAAACTGGGAGACAGGGATTGATAGCATGGAATTTGGCCTGGTCACTGACGCAAAGTCTGTTTTCGACGCTCTATCCAGACCAAGTGCAATCTCAGCAACAGACAAGAGGACATGCATTGACTTGTCCATCATTCGAGAATTTCTTCGAAGGAATAATGGATGTGTTCGATGGATTGACGGTAGATATCAATTGGCAGATTCGCTTACCAAAGTGATGCCATCAGATTTTCTCAGGTCAGTAATGAAACTAGGACATTACCAACTACATGAAGAGTACAATACTCTTGCCTTACGAAGAGAAGCTCGAAAGGATCGAGAACAACGCAAAGCAAGGTTGCAACAAGAACGAAAAGAAAGTTAGAGGAATGTGAACGTGGAACATGACATTCCACCAGGATCTCAGCTGTATGTTCGTTCTTGTGCCCGATAAATGTTGGGCTCAACTCTCAGGGGTACCGTGTCGCGCGTCGTGGAAATGTGTGCGATGTGTGCGGTTCTTTCATTGCTGTGACTACAATAGGGATTGGTACAGTAGGGGTAGTTTCAAAATTGAGCTTCAGTCCAAGCAACCATGAAAGCAAAAGGCAAAAGACTTAGAACGGACTTATATTTAAATGTCCTATAATGTCCTGTATATATATAGTCCAAGTAAAGCTGTGTCCTAGCTATAAGTATCTCAAGCAAATTAAACCTTCAGAGTCCTTTCCTTGTATGAAATGCATTATTTTTGTTATTTCTTACTAACTGTACAGCTAAATTAAACTTATATAGCAAAGTCCTGGCCAGGACTTGCTTACTTGGCTTACTCATAAGTAGTTTTATAAGTCCAAATGGAACATTGGATTTGGCTGTCAGTACCTACCTAGCAGCACTCGTCCGGAGAAGGTCTCGTACCTTCGGGACTTCACATGGTCTCCCGGCAGGTGTCGCGCTTCCGTCCGGGGAGAAAAATGGCTTCGGTCGGGTTTCTTCAAAGAGGTGCCAACCGAAAACTACGAGGGTAGGAAAGTGAAACACAGTGAACACAGGTTAGGCAACTCGGCACCGACGTCAGCAGATTGACTAAGTAACCAAATGGTCTTGACCGAACGCCCGGGCAAGCGTGAAAGTCTGGAAGGTCTGTACTCCTGTTTGGGTCTACTGTCCTCTTCTGGTCGAGTCAAAAAAGAGTTTCCACCTTCGCATCGTCTCATTGCTGTGGTCTTTCCAGGATCCCTGTTCGAAGGGATGAGCTTGACCAAAATTGTGCTTTTCATTTACACCTCTTTCTTCTTTGGATCTTCACCCAACAATAATCCATCAGCACTTTCTCAACTCATGAGAACTGCATCTTTGTTCTTCTCTTCTGCAACGTTTTTTCGATTCATAAACCAACCCCCAAACCCCAACAGTTTGCAACATCCAAGTTGCCATGTCTCTCCCTTTAAAAGGGAGGTTTGGCGTCCGCTACTTGCAGCCTTCCAGCCGTTCTAGCAAAATTTGGTGCATTGCCATAATGTCCTGCCGGTTCTCGCGAGACTGCAGCTAACAGCGAGGTCATTTGCGCGGCTCAGGGCCTACCTCATGGAGGGGCTATTAGATCCAGAAAGGGATGTTGAAAAGAATCGACCCCTGGATGGTGACCATGTTAAGAACTTAAGAACACCAAACCAGTTGTTGTTGACCTTTGGCTCCATGTCGGGCTACGGAAGTTATGGAAGATGCTTCTTCGAGTGCAATAAGTCTATATACATGTACAGCATATATACTGTCAGCTCGTGGGTTTGTTGGGGCAAAATTAGGATTGCACTTCTGATGCTGGCCCTTCCAGTTCCTTTATGGAGGCTATTTTGTCCAACTTGTCAGGAAACCAATCCGTGACTACATAACCAATTTGTGAACTGTACTCCGTTTTCGCCGTGTGCAAACCTCCCAATACCAAGGTCCCAAAACCATGAAGCATGAAGCTGTTCGTCCGGGTGCACAACAAAAACACGTCTTTCTCCAGCAAAAATATTAAAAAAAGCACATGTGTTCCTGGTTTTGAGGGACCCATCAAAGGACCGGATGAGATCCGCCGATGTCCGTGTCGGCTGCGACCGGCCACGTCGCGGGACCGGACGGTCCTCTTCGCTGTTCCCAAGGGTTACGAAGAAGTCGTCGTCCAAGTGCATCAAAGCAGGCATCCATGCCTACGAACGGAGCCGAGGGCATCCCTACGAACGGAGCAAGGACGCTACTAGTACTAGAGGCTCCTGGCCTTACTTAGGAGCAATGTTCGCTACGAACGGAGCATTTCGGGCATCGCTACGAACGGAGCGATCGGACGCTACGAACGGGGCTCCCCGTACTACTAGGAACAAGAAGCTGCTAGTAACAAGGGCATCGCTACTACTATACCAGTAGTAGCAAGAAGCTACTAGGTTGGAGGCCATGCATCGTGGGTCCCGGACACGAACTTTGAGAAGCGTAGGCTAACTGATAACTTCTTCGAGGTGGGGAGAGTCATGGGGGGGTTCAATGGCAAAGGAGTCTGTCAAAAGTTGGCTCTTTCAAATCCGACATGTTCCACATATGACCCATGGTTCTTTCACCCCAGTTTCAACTTATCTATCTGGGAGGACGTCGCTAGAGTCTAGCGAGGACGTCGCCGTGGATCAAAGGATCGCTTCTGTTGAACAACAAAGAGTACTCCATCTCCATCCCGTCACCACATATTCCGTGTGCCATGTGCTTGGAGCCTGAAGAAGAATACCACTAGCAAATCCACATCTTTCTGATTCTTTACGTTCCACTTTCTGCAGACAACTACAAAAGAAATAGATTCTCAAAATGGTCAGCAAATGCCGCTTTTGCCGGTGCCATCGGAGCCGTGCACGCGCATGCACGCGCCTGCAAGATCTGCAGCTGGGTGATCAGCTCGCGGCAACTCGCCGAGTCCAACATCTGGACCGCCTGGACCGGAGACGCCGTGGCGACGGCGTCTCAAGGGGAGACGGAAGGGTGGAAGGGTGTGGTGAAAAGCTTAAGGGAAAACCAAGTCTTTATAAGTCTTTAGAACCAATGTATATATATATAGGTTCTCTGTATATGCTGATTCAGTGTTGAAAGTTATATAGAGTAATTGCGTTGGAGATGGACTCGGCAGCATTAGTTGAGATATTTCAACTCAACGTGGCCTCCCTCATTTGGATTCGCTCTAGACACCAAATGAACACGGCTTACATGGTCCTCCCAAAGCCACCAACAGATGGAAGCTTTTCTTAAAATAGCATTCAATAGCTTGCCATGGGGCTCAGGGCTTGATGTACCAATCCGCCATCTAGTGAGCCAGGGAGCAGTTGTTGTCTTTTTCTGGTTCCAAACCGCTTCAAGCTGGCAATGCCTTTCCAATAAACATATGATTTGTCACCATCTGGAACCACTCCAATAGCAAGGATTAGCTGATTAGCAGCCTTCCAAGACCTCACCCGGTCCGGAAAGAAACATCAGAACGCTCTGCCTTGCCCCGGTGTCGATCCCTTCGCCTTCATCCGAAAGGACTTTTGATCGCCGGTGTGCCCCACGGGATTCCTGGAGGCCGTGCGGAAAGGGGTTCCGGTGATTTTCGGAGAGATGCGTAGCGAGGTGACGAATTTGGGGAGCGAACATCCCATGCGGCTCATGCGGCTCATGTCCAATCGGTGTCCTGTCATGGTTTTGGGTGTGAAGATTTGGACAGGGCGCTTGGGCATCAATTTGGCCAATCTGAAGTGCTGCATGAGGATTCATCCGAAAACAGCTCCACCGAATCTGGAGAAACTCATGCGTTGCTTTGAAAGTACTTGTCGCATGCTACTTCCGGATTCAATTCCGGATCCGAGCTTTCGAGTCTTCATTGATTTTGATAGTTGCTCCTTTTCAAGGGATTGTTGTTTGCACGTTCTTGTGATTCTCTTTGAATGACAATTGAACTGAGAATCTCTAAGGACATTAAAAGATCTCAAATGAAGAACAATTAAACCGGTATAGGGCCAATTAGGGCCATGGCGGCCATGGCTTTCTTTTTATATGGGTGCGATTTCCATTCTCACCTCACAACCCCCCCTGAACACTCAGTCCATGTTCTCAATCCAAGAACTCCTTTCGCTCAGTTCCCTTGACAAATTTGACAAAGGATCATTTCAGCCCTTAGGTCTCCCTCAACTCTGCCACCATCTCTACTGGATGGCAACTCCATGACAGCGTATCTGCACAAAGTAACTCCAAACCAATAGAGTTGGAGGATTTTGGACATCAATCCCCGGATGTCGCAAGCCAGAAGGACCGACGACTGGACCAATGACCGATGAACGGATCGAATCCCAAATGATCTTTGACATTCTTTCACCACCTCCGATCCAATCGAGCCCAAGGAAGTAACACTTAAGGCCTTGATTCGCACTGGATCCCCTGACAGCAGAACCACTTTCCAAAGCAGAACCCCAGGTGGTCGGTCACCACAAAGGACCTGAGGTCCGGTCAAGAACCCCAGGTGCTTCGTCCATCCAGGGCACTCATGTTTGAAGGAGATCTCACCTTGGTGCGAAGGAGGTCGCAGCAAGCGACCCACACGTCTGACCCAAACGAAGGGGCCCCAGAAATACCAATCATTGTCTTCCATTTTGTTGACTATTGGGTGTCTATTGATGTTGTGATGTTTTTTTGTGCACGGTGTAGACAAACGGAGTAAAGCTTGAAGGTCATTCCGAGTCATTCCCAAATATCTGTATATACCATGACTCACCACACTCAGTCAACACTCCCGGTTAAAATCCTAAGAGCATGAACCAAGCTGGGATGCTTCTGTGACCAGTCCATGAGTGGTTGAGGAGCTCAACATGTTCAACTTTGGTCATCATCACTTCCAACTATAGAGATGAAATAGTAAACCATCTGACAAGTTTACAGATCATCCAGGTTTCCCAGCATGCAGCATGTGTACACTTGTGGTGATCATGTCTATGTACTTGGCATCCTTCTGACATGTTTTTGAACCCGTTCACTTTTGCCCCCCTCGACACTCTTGGCTGAAATGCAAAGTTATCGTGAACACAGTGAACATCAATGCACACGTATTGACACACATCACACATTGGTCTGCCCGCAGGTCGTGTTGGAGTAGAAAACGACCTACTAGATTCGATCTTTTTGAGCCACGCCCGAAGGACTAGAAAATAGTAATGAACAAGAAGCTACTACGGGCTCCTGGCATCGCTACTAGGAGCAAGGACGCTACGAACGGGGCTCCTGGCCGTACTACTAGGAGCAAGTAGCTACTTGTAACAAGTGCATCGCCACCCAACGAACCCCAGTGGCGCATGGCATTAAACTCCGCCTCGCCGTCCCCCAGACTCACCACGTTCTTCCAGCTCTTCCCATCCTGGGCCGAGGGATGGTGAAACAGCACTGGGATGCCCTGGGAAAACACACACTCAGTACATCCCCGTCACTGTTCCATGGTTGTCCTGTTCGCACTACCATTCGGTCATGTCATGTCCATTGCCAAAGTCTCTTGCCATGTGCTTGAGTTACGCAAGGTTCACAGGGCTCGATCAGCTTGCTCACACGATATGAGTCTGCAAAAAGAGCATGTGCACCAGAATCCGTACCCCTGGAGTGTATATTAAATCCCAATCACCACCGGATGTGCCAAAGAATCCCCCCCGAAACCCATTCCCGGATGGTCCAAGCATCATAGGCTTTCTGGATGACCCGCTTCATGGCGGCCTGCACCGCCCACCGGGCACTGCTTGGTGTTGGGGGTCATGTCGCCCTGTGGCACTGTTGAAGACTGTTAATGGTTTATTGTATATTTACGATGTTTGCTTGTTTACCTACTTGCAGGGTTGAACTGCTGTGGTCTCCGGTCTCTAGTCTCGACTCACAACCACATCCATGCGACATGTCCCTGTGTGCACGCAACTTGATGAAGAAAAATAACAAATTGGAGATATGCGCAAAAACAAGGACCATGCGAATGCCTTGTCTGGTATGGCCCATGTACGTAGGCAGAATGAAGGACCCATTATGAAATACCCAATACACCGTCTGGCGATTGTGGATTCCAGTGCCGTAGGTTCAAAGCAAGGCACGAAGCAAGGCACTATCGCCAGACGGGTGGTTTCTGTGGATCCCATCTAACGGTCCAAGGCATTCTATCGATTTGTCACATCCGAAGTGGTCTGAGTTGGTCTCTGATATCATCATGTGGACTCACTATCCAATTTTCTGGAGATGGGGAAACGAACCTTGGACACCGAAGTTGCACCCATGAAGAGCCTCGAACTACTTTTCGATATTTTTTGTACCCTAATTAGGGCCCCAGGTCTCATGCATTCGAGGCCAAAACCAAACGAGAACCAAGCTTCTCTGATTTTGCCCGGCAATTGATGCATCGCATAAGCGTGTGTGAGGCCATGCTGAGAACCTTGAATCCGCAAATCTTGGTGGAGGTCACTATGCACCTGTCAACCCCGCAGCATCATACCCCTCCCAAGCATCTGGAGGACATCGTGTGACATGTGAATTATCTGAATATATCTGAATCACCTATCAGTGCCCCTTCTTCATCGTTAACTCACCTCTCAAACGCACAAACACACACCCCAAACCTCTCTTCTTGTGGCCTCCTTCTTCTTGAGGCATCTTTGCATCATGAGGGCTTCTTGCTCCTCTACAGGCATCTCAGCTTGATGGAGGCATTCGCTGGCCCGGTCACCTACCGGCGGCTGTCAGTGGACGAAAGTCGTATGCCTAAAGCATAAACATGTTTCGGGTCAGGTGTATGTTAGAGATGGTGGTCGGGGCGGCACGCAGCGGTTTGGCAACAACGGTGGTGAACCAGCTGGCACAGCAGCTCGTGACCGAACATTGGTCAAGCTTGGCTGCAAGGTTTAGCAAGGCAAGGCGTGTGACAAAAGTGCCAGGCCTCATGCTGCAACCAATGAGTCCGTGTGGTAAAAATGTTCCGTGGTGTTCCAAGTTCCTTTACTTTGGTTATAATTGAGCGATTGTGTTGGCAAGAAATTGTCAGGCGACCGCAAGACAATGCCAGCATGCTGTACGCTTTCTTTGGGTCCATACCAGGTACACCTGATCCATTTGTGCGGGGCCCACTGCCAGCCACTACACATGCATGGATGCGCCAACTGGCGTCGAACTTGCAGGCTTTGGCCGAATGTGTGGAGGACGATGCGTTTTTTCAGCAGCTCAACCTAGCCGCTCCATGACCAGACGAGGTCTAAGACGTGTTCCTGCGATGTGACTTCTTCTTACAGCAGCTCCACCGGGGTGGTTGCCGGCCGCGATTCCTGCAGGCGCAGCAAAGGCGGACGCCAGGCACACTTGCAGACTTCTGCGACATGGCCAGATTTGCGGTGCTTTTGCAACTTTTGCCCTCAAGGTCCACCAGGTTCACAGCAATAGACACTGTGGCAACCATTGCGCATGCAAGGCACTGGCGAGTCAAAAGGTGGCAGAAAACCATTTGGTCTACAGCATCTCACGAGGATATTGCAGCAGGGCCAGTGGTAGTGCTACAGTGCGACATGTCACCATTCAGCTTCTAAGCACTTGCGCTGTGTGTGCCCAGTTCAGAAGTTTGCCAGAGGTTCAAGCCCACTTGGTCACGCATTTGCCTGTGTCTTTTCAGCGAGCTACACTTGACCACTATTGGCGCCATGGCTGAGCAGTGGGTAGTCATTTGGGTCATCCTGCCAACGAGCCAGCAAACAAAGCCAGGGCCGTTGCCAGCGGCAGGTCTGACCTCGAACGCGAACTACTTGTGCTCGTCGGGTTGCTGTGCAGCATGGCTTACTCCACCTTGAAGTTTGAGGCCAACCGTGGTGCAGTCAAAGTACGTGAGCAAGCACGTACTCTTCATGCTGACCGCACCAGGGGCCAACCTGGTGAGTATACCTTCGTTTGCACTACTGCTGGCCGTGAAAACCAACGCCGATGCCCAGCTCCACTGGCTGACCGATGACTTCCTCACTGCACACCCACCAAAAGAACCCCTGGCCCAGGCAGTGAAGGTGTGTAGGGTGCAGAAGATGCACGTTTCGCACAAGAAGCTCTTCCGTCTGGATGACAAACCTCTTGAGGAGGCCTTGGTCGCCTTGTGACTGAGGGGTGTTGATTGGCCACCTGGGTCGCTGTGGAAAGCCATCGACTTGCTGCAAAAGCTTGGTGAAGAACTGAGAGGCAGTGATGGGCGGTGTGTGCGGAGCTTGCTTGGCAGCGCTGAGCAATGCGAGCATGTGTGCCGTTGGGTCGCCCGTTTGTGCAACTCCACTGGGCACATGATCGTGCATAACCGTGCATAGAGTGGGGTGATGTTGATGCAGGCTTCCTGGTTCTCCCAGCAGCCACACATACACATATCTTGTTTTGTGCTGCTTTCATGTCGTTGCCAGGTTGTACACTGAGGCTTAGCTGAGTTTGGACGTGGACGGCTGCCCCGTGGAGCGAGTGAGTGAGGGGAGATCTCCCAGCAAACGGGGTCTGGTCTAGGAGATTCTCAGGGGGCTTCCCTGTGGCACACAGTTTGCACCTCAATTACAACAGATGTAGCAATTACAATCAATGGTAGTACGGAGATGTGGCTTCTTTCATGGGCAATCATCATTGAAGAAAGTGTGTGCTGCTTACTGAAAAAAATCACTTCTCCTTCCAATGGTCTCTACGATGTCTTGTTGGTGGTTCAAACCTCCCAACCATGTTAGTCAACTGGGAGAAGCATTCTCAAGTAGGGATCAAACAATTCCAAAGGATCACCCAAACGTGTTCCATGAAGGATCGCGACAACAGTGGATGCATCCCAGCTTACCACAAAAAGGGGCTTGAGTCTCAAAGGCACTGAAGGTCAACTTGTTTGGAACTAGTATGTCAAACATCAGCACACCTCCAAAGATATCATAATGTAGGCTTATATACAACGAATTCTGATCAACTATAAACAAACAAGTAAGATTCTGCAAACACTCGAATTGGACCAAAGCGATCGCGCGTAAGATCTGTGGGAAAAGAAAGAATCGAGAGAACTCGTTTCATGGATACTCCCATTCCATGGGATGTTGCTCTTCACTGTGCAATCTACTGGCACACTCAAGAGAAGAAATATCCTATCCCTTGCCAAGGGCCCTGGAACGAAGGGGATGCAACAACTGGCCCTTTGTTGAGTGAATGATTCTCTCCTTCAACTCACTACAGCCAACTGCGCTGACTTCTGGATACATCCCCTTCCAAACATGGTTGGAACTGGTCTCCCACCAATTCAAGTGTGACCGAGGGTGAAGTTAGTATGCGGCTGATGAGAATGAGCCTCCCCGCGGAAGTATCGTATTGTAAAAGTTGTCAGCTGTTCATTTCCTCACAAGGGCATCGCTACTAGGGTGGAGGCTATTACTACTAGTAGCAAGAAGCTAGTAACAAGGGCATCGCTACTAGGGTGGAGGCTATTACTACTAGTAGCAAGAAGCTAGTAACAAGGGCATCGCTACTAGGGTGGAGGCTATTACTACTAGTAGCAAGAAGCTAGCAACAAGGGCATCGCTACTAGGAGCAAGGACGCTACTAGGGGCTCCTGGCCTTATTACTAATAGCAAGAAGCTACTAGGAACAAAGGGCATCGCTACTAGTAACACCGCTATCTTAAACTCACAAAGTCGACGCACGAGAGATGGGCCCACGCATCTTCTCGACCAAGACACCTTGCTGGAGAACCCAGGTCTCGCTGGCGTAAATCACTTGGATACCTGAGATGTGCCACACAATTCATAGTCTGGTGTTTCTTCCGACGGGAAAAGCTGCGGGACAAATGGAGATTCTCCTGCGAAACATTTCTATTATGAGTGATGATATCGGGACCGTTAAAGTGAGTCAAGAGCTGTACCTAGATCCTTAACAAAGCCACAAATCTATTTAAAGAACCAAAAGAACCCAGGCTGGACACTTATGGCTTCCACCGCCTATAGCTGTTGCAATCTAGCACATCCATGTCCAAAATGTCTAGCGCTTCGGGGACTCTATGCCATTCTTGTGGCACCGGTTCTAAACCTCGGCTGAAATCCAAGTTGCTGGATCCACTCGTAAGAAAAGCCTCCTGAAAGATGTCAACTACAATAAAACATCATCAACAGTGATTCTGCCCTTGCTGGGATTGCATCTCATTCCCCAGTTCATGACTTTTTTTGAAATTTTACGCTACCTATGTTCCGATTCATGCGCAGCATCGCGTTTCTTTTGGATCAGGGCATCCAAGGCCAGCTAGTCTTCTTATGAGACAAGCCGCCGGTCACAAAATTGACTCCTTTACAATCTTTACAGCTGGTTTGGGATGAATCCGGTTTGACATGTTAAGGTCCGTGTCCGATTTTTCCAACTTCTCAATTGCTTCTGCGTCCAAATTGCAGCATCCAGGGTTGTCTTTCCAAAAACGTCTATCTGCGTATCAAATCCTGCCTGTTCGGTTTCGACCTCGGCGGAACCGGATTCACCACTGAACTGGTGCCTTGAAAACCACTATAGGGAACCTCGGCCGGGTAGCCGGCCGGAGTTGGATTTGTTCGTTGGATGGTACCTCGTCCAATGTCCAATTAAACAGTTTCCTCAGTTTCTGTGCGCAATTTTTCTTAGTGGATGTCAAATCGAAGGGTCTTGAAACAACTCTCCAAAGTCCAACCTTGGCCTAGCTGGCGCTTGCTAGGGAGCTTCAAACAAAGTCCGTATACTCTCAGGTCACTCGTTCTCAATGATTTCTTCCACACCAGCAATCCGCAGATCATACATCTTAGGGAAGCCGGAGCGGATGTACTCCTTGGTCCGGCGGAAGCCATTGCGGATGCCAAAACGAAAATCACTCCGTATACGGATCCAGCCACCTTTTGGTCCTTTCGTTGTTGAACCCCTGGCAGTTGGTTTTCAGCATGCCCAACGACCATTGGCGGTCCAAGGGTCATTTGAGCGGTCCAAGGAACTCCCTTGGGTCATTGAGCGACTGTGGCTACAAGGCACCTGGTGGTTGGATGATTGGGCACCACCTGTTTATGTTTGCTTTCTCTCTGCGGCACTCTGAAACATGTTTAAAGAAAAACAAACAAACAAACAACAAACAAACACATTGTTGAAAATCACATGTTCCTGTAGGTGGATGGAGGCTGTGTTCTGTATCTCTCACTCAACAATGCTTTAGTGACAAACCCACAACAAAATCTTCAATGAAACACACTACTCACCAACCTTAAAATAAATTCTACCTGAGGGTGACCAAAGACCAAAGCGTCGTAAAGATGTGGAACTGTCCATCGACCAGAGGCTGTTGAACTCCAAACTCCATCAGTGGGACCAACACTCCATCGCTGTCCCAACACGATCTTTTCCTCCAAAAGTCATTCCCCTCCGCGATCAATGTGCTGCTATTCACGCCCTGACACAGGCCATCACCTGGCAACTCGTGACACATGGTCAATGGGAGTGTCTCAACATATGCATGTGTTTCAAAACAAATGTAAGACCCAACAATTCTAAACTCCGCAGCTTTATTTGCCCGTCTACACCTTTTTTTTGGAGCTCTCACCGAAACGGAACCAGAACCAGAACCCCCCTCTGGGAGCGCCAAAGACCGCCAGCAACCGGTTGTGGATCGGGAATCGGATTGCCCGCTTTTGAGATCGTCTCAATGAAGCCAGAAACCAAGCGCATCATGGACAAGCCCCGCGCCACCGTGGGCCAACCGAACTTTATTGCTAGATACAGAAAACCACGGAGTGAAAGGGTACCTATCGAGTAGTCTCGAGCAGTACGTATTGGATATTGTGCATCAACAGGATTGGATCCCTTCAGAAGAGCTACCTCTGTATGTTGATGGATCCCTACATTATGGTACATCGTTCCAACACCATGTTCAGAAGGTAGGGAAGGACACCTGAAATTATTCTCATGAAAGCATGCCCTATATGACTTCAGAGTTGAAGGGTGGGGGATACTTTGCAATGTGCCCACCAGCCTACATTTTTATCATGCATGTTGTACTTTTGAAAACAATTACTAAACCAAAAATTGGTGGAATCATTTTTATTCCAATGATGTCTGTTCCCACCTATCTATATAGGCATAACTCCGTGTCGAGCCGTCAAGCCTCCCACGACTATTCCAATTCATGCGCATTGGTGATTGTTCCACACCGGCCAGCGACCCTGCCCTCCTCAAAGAAAAAAAACACCTCCAAGAACAAATTGAAGACTTCGGTGAACGGAAACCTATGAAAAACATTTGATTGGCCCATTTGGGGGTCGACACGCGACCGTTCCCTTGCCATTTCTGAAAGGTGTTCTCGGGTACAAGCGAACCCCTATGGCCCTAAGCATCCGCCATCGCCCTGAGAAGGTGAGTCAGGGTGTATGAGGGGAATGGGAACAGGGTAGCCATGATGGTGGATCCATAGGCTGTCCATAGGCATGTCATTCAATGTCCACCTCCACCAAGCAACGGAATCGACAAAAGGGATCCGGATTGGGCGTGCAAAGCTCTTGCACTTCGCCATAGAGGTTGCCCAGCACCGATCCAAGATGATCCAGGACCTCCATGCCCTCCTCCACCTGCAACTGTTCACCCGAGGGCCCGAGGACTAATTATTCAGACTCCATGTCCATCTTGTTACCTCGTTTCTTGATGCATCCTTGTCTGTAAGTGGTACAAGTAGCGGCTATCTCTGAAACTATCCCAAGGCAGGAGATGAGAATCCTACTTGGCGATGAGAGAGAAAGAAAGAGAGAGCGAGACCAAAAGCCAAGCACCACGTACGTGGCTTAGACTTCCGCCAGGACTGAACAGTGATACGAAAGGTAAGTTTTGCCAAAATTTTGCCAAACACAGTGTAAACCGCCAGGCGGTTCTTGCGTTTCGGACAGAGAAAAACGAGTGCGGTCGGCAAATGGCCCACCTCGGCAAAAGGAGCGAAACCATGTGAATCCAAATGGGAATTGTCTTGATAGTTCAAAAAGATCTCCTCAGAATCTCATGGTCAACTGATGACTCATGACCAACACTTGGGGGTACGACGACTGCAAAACAAAGCAACATCGGGAATTGCCAGTAGAACCAAGTTGACCAGATTTCCTGACTCCAGCGAAAGCTGGTTGCCAATGGATACAAAGTGGTCGCGTTTCTCGTTTCGGATTTTGAAGAAGGCAACGACCTTTCCGCTGCAGGCCGAGCTGAGTGGAGGATCTGCTGAGACATGTCATTCCCACGTGTTTGTTCCCTTGTGGAGAAAGGTCAGTCACCGAGGTTGTATATAGTTATATAAGTTACTGGGTGGCTGTTTGCAAGTTGCAAAAGTTGCTTTTGCTTTTGTGTATATAGATTTTTTGACAATGAGGTAATGTCAATGATGCAAATGTCCGGAAAATGTCCGGAAAAGTCCGGACAGTGAAATTAAAGGTGAAAAAAAGTGTTTCACAGTGAAACCTAGCTACTGACAATGACAATGAAACTTAAAGTCGGAAATTTTACAATGACAATGATGATGTTAATTTCAAACGAGAATGTCAAACTGATGGGAGCTCCAGTGAACAAAACATACAGAGCTCCGTGAACATCATTGTCAAACCTAGCTCATTGTCGTTCAATAACGCCCTTCTGGACATCTGCCAAATGTGTGGAGTTCACATCATCAGCAAGGTGCAATGCTTTCCTGCTATAGCAGTATCGCTACCATCGGCCTTCCGCTTCACCATGACAAATGCAGGCCCTTGATACTTGATCTGACAATGACTGCTTTCAGTTAGTAACAATTGGCAACATCATTGACAATGACCTCAATGACAATGACACATGACAATCCAATGTGAAAAGTTGAACGCACTGACTGATTGAACATGACAATATCAATGGCAATGAAAGATTGAAATCACAACTGAGAAAGCCTGTTTCGCTGGCCCCAAGATGATCCAACACCTGCTGAATTATGATAAGTGCCCAGTGGCCTGTCGAAATTTATCTAAATGAGCTTTGCTGCTGCCAGGGCATGACGCGTCACGAATTGAAGAACTGGCACTGACATGTTTCCGCGTGATCCCGCTGGGATGGACGACGGGAACACAAGGTCATCAAAGCCTTGCAACTTGGCCAGCTCAGTCCTCTTCAGAAAACGTCTCTGGCTAGTGATCCAGAAGCTCCGATCCTGTCCTCGGCTCTTCGTGATCGTAGGGCAGCATCCGACAGCGACTTGTCGATGACTCTTCCCTGCCTTGCAATCAATGATCCCATCACCTTGTCAGGTTGGTAGCCCTGACTGCGAAGCTTCTTCTTGCCCCACCGGATGTTATTCAAGGCACTCTTGCTGATTTGTCCGGCCTGGGCCACATGTTAAAAGTAACAAGGCAGAGTTCCATCACCCCAAATCATCGGTTGCAAACAAATCCATTGAGTAGTATCATTGTCATCACTGTCATTTTCAAAAGGACACCAAAGTTCAATAAAAGAAAGCCAAGTTGAGCCCAAGTGGAAAGTCAACCTTGCACAGCTCAACCTGATTGACCAGTACTTACATTGCATCATCAAAAGCATTGAACCAGAATCATTCCAAGTGGCAGGTGTGGACAATTGGCCCTTCTTCAAGAAATTCTTCAATGTAGACTTCCTCCCTTTGGCATCAACTTCTCCAGATCAGGTGGATTCAACGGTGTCTTCTTGATCTGCTTAATCCCCACAGAGTACAGCCGGCGACGTCGTTGGGGCAAAAATGGCCTGAGTGTTCAGCTTGTAGACCCATCAACTTCTCGTAGGTCCCCTGAGTCAATGAATCACCACAACATTCAGACTCAGGCTGTTTGCAACAGTGACACTGATGTTGAATGTATTATTTGGACAATGAATGACAATGACAACGACAGTGAATTTGGACGATAATATTAATGACAATGAATGTCCCACCCAGCCTTCATGCGACCAGCTGCAATCCCCGGCACCTGCTCCAAGATAAAAACCTTCGGCTGGTGCTTGACCACCCAATCAGAGATCGTGCCACTCAAATCGCGGGAGTCAGATGTCCCAGCCCTCTTGCCCGCCGTGGAATGAGCTTGACAAGGAAATCCACAGCAATAGCAATCGATATCCATCTCTGCGCCTCGGCCGGCCTGCTTGTGCAACTTGCGCGGTCCATGGCCCAGGCGCTTAGCCATCTTCAAGTGACTTCGACCGTGAGGATCAATTTCACTGCCTTTGATTTTTGCCGTGCTCAGTGCTCTGACAAACACACAGGACAAGACAGACAGGACACGCTTCTTATTAAGTGAAATGTCTCTTTCAAGTAATAAATTCATCCGGTTCACCAAATACGTTGACAAAGTCCAACATATTGGCTGCCACTGGCCCATCTGTTCCAGTCCAGTGCAGTCACTGGCAAGACGCAGCGGCATGAGCAGGGCCGAAAGTGAAGGACAATGATCACCTGGCCACTCCTTTGATCCAAGTCACTGCTGAAAACATGCGTTGATGAGACTGACAGTGACAATGCAATCAGTGAGATCCAAGACAGTGTGACAGTGAGGTCAGTGACGGATCATTGTCACACTAAGTTTGGAAAGTCAAGTGATGATTCTAAACCAACTGAAGAGACAATGACAATGACATGACTGGCAATGACACAGTGAGGTTTCCACAACTTGGGGTCCGAGCTGGCCACGTCTGAAATAAATTTCAAATCCTGGCATGGCAGGGCAGCTAGAGGCCATATCATGTACTGTAAAAGTTGGAAAGCTAAGTTTGGAAAGTTAGGCTGCGGCCATGGCTATTGTAGATGGAAATCACGAGGACAGCGGCCTTCTTGCAACTTGCGTGGACAGCGCCATTCTTGCAACTTGTGTGGCAAACAAACTGAAATGTTTATAGCAATGGTCCTGCCTGTAGGATTCCATGGTAACTGCAGTGTGTTTTCTGATGCTAAAATTATGCCATGCAACATTGTCACCAACCAGGCCGGAGCTTCTTGCACACTCAGTCCTTTGGCATTGGGATTAAAGTATTTAGCCCAGGTCCCAAAAAGAACTTAGACAATTTTGATGTACATCAGTGGAAAAGATTGTATATTTGTTTAAAAATATTTACCCGCAGCGAGCCGCTGACGTCGGTGGTTTGCTGCTCCCTCAAAAAAATTGCAAATTTTGGGCTGAAGTCGGTGGTTTGCTGCTCCCTCAAATATAATATGGGAAAAGTTGCTAAGTTGCAAAAGTTCGCACTTAGAGGCCACCAATTTTGATGCATAGTTTGCTGCTCCTAGGGGGTCTGACCCCCTACCAGCAGTGAACCGCTGACGTCAGCGTTTTGCTGCCCCCTACCAAAATGTTAGTGTATATTTTAGGCAAGGAGGGGGTCTGACGCCCCTGCCAGCACAAAACCATACTTGAGGGGGCAGCGAACCGTACATGAGGGGGCAGCGAACCGCTGACGTCACCGGTTTGCTGCTGGTAGGGGGGTCAGACCCCCTAGGAGCAGCAATCCATATTTTGTATACAGCGAATACTTTTGCAACTCCGTGGCTATTAAGACTTTCACTGTACATGATATGTTTTTCAGCTGCTGCCCTGCCATGCCAGGCTTGAAATTTGTTCCAGATGTGGCCAGCTCGGACCCCAAGTTGTGGACAACTCATGTCATTTGCCAGTCATGTCATTGTCATTGCCATTGTCCTTTCAATTGATTTAGAATCATCACGACCTTCACAAGGAGCCTTTCGCTACTGCACCAGTGGAAGGAATCTGCAAGGCCAGGGAGCGCTTAATCGTGCATGTGAGGTCCGGCATCTCAAAGAGAACGGTCAATGAGGGAATGGAAAATGTCAGTGGCCTTCTTGCTTGGGCCAAAGAGGGCACACAGGCCAAGGAAATGGAGCAATGCGTGACCAAATCCGAGATTATTCTCTATAGGTTGCTGCAAAAATGCCGTGGCTCAAAAGAACCGACTGGGAATATGCGATCGCAAAAACCACAAAGTGAGAGGGGTTCCATCCTGTAGTCCCTGAAGGCTCACTAACCGAACCTGGGTGGCCGACCCGGGAAAAAGACAGCCAGCAAACAATCAAAGATAAAAATGTGCAGTCAGGAGTCATGACTGCAAAGCATTCAGAATGTCATGACCCAGTCCAGCGTGTCACAGGATACAAAGAAAAGTTGTGAACGCCACTACCCGTCATTCTTATTTCTGCGACCCAGTTCATGTATGGAAGCCACACCTTTTTTTCCACTTCTGACGGCTCTTCAGAAGATCTGTCGTCCAAGGTCTCTGGTGTACGGCCCCAGTCCTGACTTGCTGGAAGCTCTGCAGGACGCCCCAAGTGACACCTCCTGGACGCCCCGAAAGGTCTATCATGGAACCTCCCTCTTGATCACTGCATCTGCAGCCCTCTGTGGAAGCATATCCGGGCTCGAGACGTGCATCTTCAGAATCCGAGACATGTCCAAATTCTCCTTCTCCAGGAGGCGTATGCGCTCAGCAGATTCCCGCAAACTCTTCACCAATCCCTGCTGGTCATGAACTTGGGCCAACATCGCCTTCGCCTCATCCACCTCCTTCATCAGATCGTTGTATCCTTGGATCTTTGCGAAATCTTCAGCGCTCAGACGGTACCTTTGATTCTTTCTTCGGGTCTCATACCTGAGCCAGCGTTGCGGACAAGACAGCTACAATGCATGTGTTGGAATAGAAATAGTATGTGATCAGAAACCTCCCATACCCAAAGATCTCAAGTCCTTCAACATCGTACCCTGTATGGCTGGACCATAACATGGCTAAGGACCCTTGAGGGATTGAACTGAAAGCTCCAAGTTACTGTTTCCAATTCCAATTCTTGTTTTTCTGATCACCATCCTTCTTCATGGGTGTGTATGCAACAGGCTTGCTCCGGCCAGCAACTGGGCGTTCCGATGTCTTCCTCTGGCCGGCAGGTGGACACGCTGCTCGTCCGAGCACCCTGGCCATGGCCGCCGATGGTTAGATGCAGCAGTGCTT